TCTAGTGAATGGATGCCATTTCTCCTTCTCTTTTGTCTTAACTTGTTTAGAGACACATAAGAAGCTCTGAGAGAGCCCCAGCATCAGATACTTTTTTTTTTTTCTTAAATGTTTTATTGTGAATTATGTGATAGTTTACATGGGAGAACATTAGTTTTACATTCATTCTATTGTATATCATCTCATTGCCATGGTTACAAACCCCTCCATGCAATCCTTCCCCCATACCAGATACTTTTTTTCAAATGGGAAACTTTCTCAACTTCTCTCTTCTGTCTGGCACACTTGTCCACAGTTCAAAACCCTTGAGACCACACGCACTGCCGCTGAGTCAACTCCAACTCACAGAGATAGTGATCCTACAGAACAAAGTAGAACTGTCCCCACAGGGTTTCCCAGGCAGTCAATATTTATGGAAGCTGGTTGCCACATCTTCTTTGCATGGAACAGCTGATAAGTTTAAACAGCTGATCTTTCAGTTAGCAGCCAAATGCTGACTGTGTCACAGGGCTCCTTCCTGTTCCAAGCTAAGGTGAATAATGCCACAGGAGGAGAACTGCACCTTAAGGTGCTGGGATGAAGACAGGTAGTATCAAGTGTCCATTTCACAACGGAATAGAAATACCACAGGTATTATCTGTAACAGAAATGCCTCAAGCAGGTGGCTTTAATGAACATACGTGTATTATCTCACATGAGATAAACACGCAAACTCAGTTAGTTTGCACAGGTCTTATGAATGTAGCCAACTTGGGAACGCATATGTTTGTTACTCAAACCTAGCTTCATATTTAATGATCTACAGTGGGGAGAGGAAGGGGAAATTAAAGTAAGGAATACGTGAGAACTTCCCATGATTCCACAAAACATCCCCTGATTTCACAAGAAGAGAATACTTATCGGTGTAAGGAATGGCTTAGACCCTCCTTACACTACAATAGACGTGTGCTGCTCACAGAAGAAAGCGACCCTGTGTGTGAGGAATGTGGGAAAGGCGTTAGTTACTCTCACAAATCAGAACTCAAGAGTTGAGAGGCAGTGTCAGAAACGGGATGCTTCATTCACACTGCGATCATGTGACTCTGCCATGAAACAAGGCGCTGAATGCAGGCAGAGTTTCTCATTGACACAGGACAGTGTTGTAACTGCAGAGAGGTGTCCTCATCCGCAGTTCTCATTGCCTCCGTATACGTGTCATTTTGCCTTTCTAAAAGACTTTGGCTACTATAAATAAGGGCGATGATGGACCTTGATCAGATGTGGTTTTTCTGTTTCTTGAAGTTTTTATTGATGTAATATACCATGGTACAGTTAAATATACCGATTCTGTATTTGGCTTAAAAAAAAAAGAAGCGCTTTATCTCACAGTTCAGGAGGCTGCTGTTTTAGTTGTCGTTTGGTGCGGTCAAGTTGGTTCCAAATATGTGAAGAGGCTGAAACACTGCCCAGGCAATCCCATGCCATCCTCACCATCATTGCTGTTTCAAGTCCTTTGTTGTAGCCACTGTGTCAATCCATCTCACTGGGAGGGGTTCTTCCTCTTTTTTGTTATTAAGCATAATGTCCTTCTCTGGGGACTGGTTCCTCCTGACAACAGATCCAAAGCACATGAGATGAAGTCTCCTCATCCTCACTTCTAAGGAACATGGGCTATATTCTTCCGAGAGAGACTTGTTCATTCTTCTGGCAGTCCATGATATATTAAATATTCTTCTCCAACACCACAATTCGAATACATCAATACTTCTGTATTCCTTATTCACTGTCCAGTTTTCCCAAGCATATGAGACGACGGAAAATACCCGTCTTGGGTTAGGGGAAAACTGCTCCAGAGTTTTCAATTGCTACGATCTGAGCTGCCTCCGGGTGGATGCCAATTGCCAGTCTTTCCATTAAGGAGCTCTGGCAGCGTAGTGGTTACGAATTGGGCTGCTAACCTCAGAGTCAGCCGTTCGAAACTACTAGCTGTTCCGCAGGAGAAAGATGAGGCTTTCTGCTCCCGTAAAGATTTATAGCCTCAGAAACCCTGCACAGGGTCGCTATGAGTCGGAACTGACTCCCCGGCACATAACAACAACAACTTCACTGTTTGCACTAACTCGGGTCTTCTGTAAGATGGTCAGTGTTATGCACAGAGACTGGAAATGTGGAGTACAAAAACAGAAGAAGAATATGCAGCACACCAATAAATCACACAAAGGGTCATCACTTCACACCTTCCCCCTGGAGACACAAAACAGACACAGGATGGCTACAAAGGATCCAAGACAACTGGGAGGGGCCTTCAGATTTGAAAGGATGTCTACAAGGTCAGGTAGATTAGGACGGGGAGCAAAGTCCAACAGAGACATTGGACACATCCTGTCCCACCAAAGCAGATACATTAGTGCTAATGAGAAGAAATGAGTCAGCGAGTATCTGAGGACAGAGAGGGAGGCTCAGAGTCAGCAAGATCCTGGAGACACAGCATTTCTGCTCAGGCTAAGCCTAGGCACTTCCTGACTAGGCTCTATTCACTGATGTGTTTACACCTGTCTGCACCACAAAACATTTGAGGCACCTTCAAGGGTAGACAAGGAGTCCTGGCCACATAGTGGGTTAAGCACTGGACTGTTAACTGAAAGTTTGGAGGTTCAAATCCACTAGCTCTTCCATGAGAGAAAGATATGCCAGGCTGCTTCTACAAATATTTACAGCCTTGGAAATCCTGGGAAGCAGTTGTTCTAGTCTGTCCTACAGCGTCGCTATGAGTTGGAAATGATTTGACAGCAGTCCGTTTGGTGTTTTGGATTGAAAGGCTATACAGATTAAAGCAGAAATTGAGGACTAGGAAAGGAGTTCTGTGTAGATTATCTTACTGAACTTTTATGCCTACCCCATTACACAGATACTGCTGTCTATGTTTTGTAGATAAGAAAACTAGGACTCAAAACAATGAACTAAGTTGCCTAAAATCTCATTATTACTAACAGGTATTTAAATTTGAGCCTAGGGCTTCATAATTTAAAAAACGTAAGCTTTTTCCTGTGGGAACCAGGCTGCCTATAACCTGTTCTCTTTCCGGTGAGCGCTCCGGATTCAGGGGAAGTGAATTGCAGATGAGATTCTGAAGTCATGCTGCTGAGTTCAAGTCCTGGCTCCACTACTTACTAGTTATGCAATCTGCTCAATTTCCTCAGCTGTGAAATGGGGACAAGGTACCTACATCCCCAGCGCTGTTATGAGGATTCAAGGAGTCAATCATTGAAAAGTGTCCAATGAGGCACTTTTAGAACAGTTTCTGGAATATACAGTGGAGCTTCAAAAAGTTCGTGGAAAGATGCCATTATCTTTTAATTCCATTTCACTCCCCCTTGTAACATGCACGACTGTTAATTACAGTAGACATGAATGTGGACAAGCAGCTTAGTCACATCCTTGTTATTCAAATGGAGATGATACTAGTGTCTCTCAGTCAGGGTGATTATTAAGCAAGATAATACATGTAAAGCACTTAGTAAACATTTGACACATGCCAGTTTGCATAACTACATATGCCATGGATTGAACTGTGTCCATGAAAGTATGTGTCACAACTGTGAATGTAGAAGTTTTGTAACATAAAGGGGGGAGTGGTTAAACTTACATCCCAGGAACAGAGGACCCTAGTTATCATCAAAGGAGAAGAGCATAAGTGGAATGTGAGACCCTATCCAGAGAAGCAGCGGCACCAGAGACGGAGGCAGAGATGAGGACATGGAGAGAGGGAGCAGCTGAGGACTCTAGACTCATGGAAAAAGAAAGGCTGTGTGCTGCTGATCAGGAGTCAGGCTTGCAGAATGTACCCTTGGGCTGTTTAAATGATTCTATGTTCCTGAGTGTTTCTGTGTACATAAAAAAAGAGTGAGTACAAGCAAATACTGTTGAATGATGACGCACGGAGGGTATTATAATCATTGCAATGAAATACGATAGGATGAGTGCAAAATCGGTATTCTCCCATGTAAACTATCACTCAATTCACATTAAAAGCTTTTTAAAAAACCAAACAAACAAAAAAGTATGTGTCAACCTGGCTGTGCCATGATTCTCAGTGTAATGATGTAATCATTCCCCAGGATGTGATCTGATATGGTCAGATGTGATCAGCCAATGCGTAGTAAAGGGATTCAAGTGGGAGGCAACACTCTTATTGAGGGTGCCGCCCTGCTGGAGTGTAGCCTGCTTCCCCTTCTATGCTACTAGAGATCAAAGGGGAGAACGAAGCGAGCAGCGAGGAGGAACCCACTACCACCAAGAAAGAAGAGCTGGGAGCACCCTGACCCTCTTAAACATTTGAATTATCAGTAAAAGTAGATTTGATTTAGAAAAAGCAAGAATAATTCAGGGAAACCCTGCAAATGTGAGGGGGCTTCAAAAAGTTCACGGAAAGTGGAATAAAAAAATATTAGAATTTTCCACACACATTTTGACGCTCCCTCGAAGAATGTGATCTCTTTAAAGCTAAAACTAAGACCGAGATAGCAGGCGATATTGAAAGGATTTCTTCCACCAGTGTTTTAAGGAGAAGTTCTCCGCCAGCATTTTAACCCCACATCAGATGTGGAATGAAACCTTCTAACTCCATACCACAGCTGTAGTGAATAAGGGAGGAATACTGAGGGTGGATTGTTTCTTTGGTGGGCTTTTAGGCTTTGCCTATGGTTTTGGAGCACTAAGACTGTTTTTACCTTCCATTTTCAAACTTTCCTTAATCTTTATTTAACATTTATGACAACTTTGAGACAATGTTATTGTTCAAGAGTATGCTTCTTATTGTTGTTAAGTGCTGCTGAGTTGCTTCTGACTCAGAGCCACCCCTGTATAGGGTTTCTGAGGCATGCCTGGTGAGTTTGAACCACTGACCTTGCAGTTAGCAGTCCAGTGCTTATCCTATTGCACCACACGAAGACTTCAAGAGTATGCTTAGACATGTTTCAATTTATCCAACAGAAAAGAACCATTCCAGTGGAATATCTAACCTTCACACGGTCCGGATCCACATAATGCATTTTTTTCATGTCACATTCTTCAGTTGTGTAATTTAACTTGAGGATGTAAAGGATCCACACTCCAAACACAAGCAATGTACATCTGGGGGGTGGGGAGGGGAATCAATTGGGTAGAATAACACAGTCATGTGATAATCAAGAGATATTGTAAAACAGGTGAAACACTAATCTAAATGGAAGTCTGCCTGCCAAACAGCATAAAAACACAACCCTAAATGAACCTCAAGTGGTGAGATTGATATATGCAAATATATATAAAATATATTTTACATATATATATATATATATATTTTTTTTTTTACCAAATAAGTTAGTCATTTATGATGGTCTTTATTATAAGTGATTACATTTTTTTTTGCAAAGGTACCATTATAAAATTTGAATAGCGCTGCAGATTAAAAATACTTAACCAAAATAAAATAAATAAAGTACAGATAGTCTCTGACATCTGACAGGACTCTATTCTAACTGCTCTGTTGTAATTTGGTTTTGGCATGAGTCAAAACCCTCTTATTTATTTTTCGTTTTCATTACTATTGTCTTTTATTATCAGTATCTTTACAAATCATCACAATGAACATCTGCTAGTGAACATATGAGAGTAACATCAGCAAGTTAAATGTGCTGATGTAGTAATCCCAGGGAGGAAACTGCGGCCCCCTGAAACCCTAGTTCTACCGTCTTACAGACTTGCTATGAGTCGAAACCAAGTTGATGGCAATGGGTTTGTTTTGATTTTTTTTTCCAACCCAGTTTATACTGACAACCTACCAACAACAACAAAAAAAGTTAAATCACATTTTCATAATTCTTGCTATTGAAAAAACAAAGTTAAGACATACTCTTAAGAGGAAATATGATCTTTTCTAGAGTTTTTAAAAATGAGATCTTTTCTAGAGTTTTTAAAAATGAAATACATCATGTAGTATGGTATACTGCACAGAACAGATACTAAATACTTCATAGTATCTGATTGGGGGCAGGGGCGGTAGGTATAAGAAAGAATTGCTAGGAAGAACTTGTAAGACCTGCTAGTTCTCATTTCAATAGACTCCACATGAAATCTTGGACAAGTATCTTAACTTTCCCCTGGGCTTGAGTACCATGTTAAGAAAATAGGGTGCTATCATTTGTGTCAATAAAAGGAAAAAAGTGGAGGGAGGAAAACATACACACACACGCGCACACACGCGCACACACACACACACAATTTCTTTCTATGTTAGAAACTGGTTACATGGGTTGTCCTCTAGGGGGAGAGAACTGTGAGGTGCAGAGGTGAGAAGATGGCTCACTGGGTCCCCTTTAATATCTACTGAAATATGAATCCTGAGATTCCCTAGTCCTCTCTCTACACCTCAGGAAAGCACATCAACACATGTTATGATTCCCTTAATAAGTTAAGTTTTTAAAGAAGTAAAGGTGCTAGAAGTCACCCCTGTATCCATAGCTTCTGTCACACTGCAGAGTGGTGACATCTGCCACCACTCAGCACAATGAGGCACGGGACCTCTGGCCTCAATAAATACTGTTGTAATGACAAACAGGAGATAGAAAATAATGCAAGCACTTATTAGCATAAATTCCCCTTCTCACCTTCCCCTTACACTTCCTAAATCAGTAAACTGAGATGGGAGGCTAGATTCACAGCTTAGATGTTTAGCTTTAGACACAAAAAAGGGTACTTTTCAACTTGGTTTAGTTAGTACCAAATCAAACTGAAAAGAGCCCCTTTATTAACTTGATAGCTTCTAAGGATGTAAGAGTTCCACAATCAGTTGCCATCAAATCCGTTCTGACTCATGGGGACCCCATGTGTGCCAGAGGAGAAGTGTGCGCCATAGATTTTCAATGGTTGATTTTCCCTAAATAGACCACCAGATCTTTCTTCTGAGGTGCCGCTGATGGACTCAAACCTCCAGGGTTTTGGTTAGCAGCTGAGTGTTTTCACTGTTACATAGATGACACAAAGAGCAGTGCACTGTAAGAGGTGCTCTCTTGGGTCTCCGAGTGCGGTAGAGGAGCCTGAGTCTCTCCCTGACCCAATACAGCTAGATGTAGAAGTCCATTCCACTTCATCAGTGTACACTAAGTCTTTCCTCACATGTGATTTAAATGATCCCTGCTCAACACTAGCCATCATAGGGCTCTCACTGAATAGTTCTACAAATTCTACTGTTTACCCAAAAGCAGGGGCCAGCTCTGGCCTAAGGGGCTGGACTTACTTGAGAATGTTTCTTAACAATAAGGTGGGTCTTCTCATCTTGTTTTGAGCTCGAGTGTACCATTGCAGGGAAGGTCTTGAGCAATCACTCCTCAGTTTTATACATTTATACACATTTGGCATTGCTGTGAAGAGAGTGGAGAAGAACAGGGTTGAGAAGAGGGATGTGGAGTTTTTTCAAAAGAGCTTTTATGTGGTACATGTCACAGAACACTACTCAGCAATAAAAAGAAATGGATATTGATATATACAATAATCTGGATACATCTTGAAGGAATTATGCTGAATGAAAACAGCTAATACTAAAAGGTCAGGAATTGCATGGTTCCATTTATGCAACATTGGTGAAATGACAAAATTACAGAAATGGAGAGCAGTGTCAGCAGTTGTCCAGGGTTAAGGAGGGATGGAATTAGATGTGGTGTGACAAGGGCAACTTCGGGGATCTCCGTGGTGATGGAAATGTTTAGTATCTTGAGAACCACTGATAGAATATAATTTACATATGAAAATTTCAACTTTGCTTAATTTTAAAGTTGATAAGAATAATTAGACTTAACACCAAAACTTAAAATCAAGGGCTATGGCTAAAAATCAATGATATTTGAGTCTCTGTATCTAATCTTCCTCCCTCCGCCCCATTTTATCTGGTTTGCACATTTTCTAGAAAGTCATGATTTGTCAAGATGTGTGGTTGTGTCCTCACCTGCACAATGTACATGTCTGCTGGTAGACACACACAGAGGCCTAAATCCACACCCTGAGCCTGTGCAGAGCCCCTTCAGTGACCATGCCAGGAGCCTGCAGGTGTACGGAGGTGGTTGGCATTCTTCCATGTGTTAGTTATGACTTCAGCACAGTTACAAAGAAACTGTTGTTTAAAAACATCCCCATGCAAGTGTGCAGAATACATTTTAAAACTACTAATTTCATGTCTTCTCTCATTGATTTCAATAAGTTGTTTGAACTCCCCTACCCACCCCAGGAAACTTTCATCCCCAGTAATCAAGTAGAGCACTTTTAACTATCCACTCTGCTCTCATCTTCAAAAGACACACACACACACACACACACACACACACACAAAAAAAACAAAACCAAAACCCACAAACAAACCAAAGTAGAGCACTTTTAACTATCCACTCTGCTCTCATCTTCAAAAGACACACACACACACACAAAACAAACAAACAAACAAAAAAAACCCCACAAACAAACCAAAACCAACCCTTCTGCCACGGAATCAATTCTGAATCATTGTTATTAAGTGCAACTAACTTGGTTCTGACTCATAGCGACCCTGTATTGGGTTTCCAAGGAGCATCTGGTGGGTTTGAATTGTTGACCTTGTGGTTTGCAAGCCCTCAACACCACACCAGGAGTCCAATTCTGACTCACAGGGACCCTATATAGGATTTCTGAGACTGTAAATCTTGACAGGAGCAGCCAGCCTTGTCTAGCTCCCACAGAGCAGCTGACCTTGCATAATCTACAGCACCACTAGAGGTCCATCTCACCACCAAAGGGGCGGGGAAGGAGCCCACTGTCCATTGTACTTTCCTATTTCATCTTCTAAGAATGCGAAATTCATCCGTGTGCTGACAGACCATGTGTATGAGACCACGCTACCATCTCTCAATAACATTTATTCAGTATAAAGGACACCCACCTCCACCCTCCCCTACTAGTGAACAAACCATGCACATGAACCACTGGAGGCAGCTGTGTGTGTATGCAGATTACTAGAAGACCTGAGCCTCAGAGTTTCAGAGTCAGGAGGACCAGCTTAGACAACGAAATGAAAGTTTGGTCCAGAGGCACCTCAGAAGAAAGGCCTGGTGACTGTGCCTAAAAGGGCACCACCATTGAAAACCCTGTGGTCTGGTGCAGCAACTCTCTCAGAGTCAAACCTCATGCAAGCCTCCTCTTACACTCCCCTGCTTCTTCTGCACACTCCACTTCCTCAGTCTCAACATGACATCTCTTCACCTCTTTGCCATATGGTTTTCTCTCGCCCCATCTTTGTTCTGGTCTTTGCTTAAAACTTGACTTCCTTGGACAACCTCTGTAAAAACAGCATCCCAACCCCTAGAGGTACCTTACTATTCTCCTTCCTGCTTTATCTGGGTACAATGACATATATTTGCCTAAAAATCTGATGTCCCAATGCAATACAAGATTCTTAGAACAGGGTCTGTGCCAATTTTGTTCACTGCTGTAACCACAGAACTGAAAACAGAGCCTAGTATATAAAGGGTACTCAAAAAACATTTGTTGAACAGATGAATGGATGAATGCACTGGTAACTGGCCTGGAAGTAGATCATCACCACAGACAAGCTGACCCAAACTCAGTATAGTTCTTACATACAAGCATAGCACCACAGACTGGGTCCTTCCATGTGTCCAGATATAATAATCGCTGGGAATTTATTTAGTGTCCAGTGTGTCTCAGACGCATCAAGACTAGCAATGAGAATCATTTTTTCAAACAAGAACCACTGTATATGTGTGTTAAGCATCCACTATAGATGTGTGTCAGGCATCCTAGGTCGGAGCCAGTAATTAATGTGGTTGGCTGCTAAACCAAAAGTTTGGAGGTTTGAGCTCACAGAGAAGCACTTTGAAAGAAAATCCTGGCAGGCTAATTCTGAAAAATCAGCTATTGGAAAGTATATGAAAAAAGACGGTAGACTGTGCAGACATGCTATACACTCTGCAACCAACCCAGGAGATCACATGAAACAGACACAGAGGACAATCCTGGAACCCTGAGCTTCAGAGGAACTCTGAGGAGTGAGAATTAGAGAAGTGAAGTGAATACCTACTGGAAGGCGAGGCTGAGCAGGGGCAGCAAAAGGAGGAGACTGGTGAACGAACTGCCAGCCAGATGTGGCATGGCTATCTTGAACTTTTGTGAGCAGCTTTGGAGAGAGATAGATAGTGGCCTGATGGCACAGATTCACAAGGATGACAGAAAAAGTAGGGTTCCTTCTTGCTCCCCCGCTCCCCAGATAACAGAGGTGAAGCTGGCCCCCACCACCCTCATCAGCCTCAGTGCAGACCCTGATCTCTGGGAGTTCTGAGCTGTGTGGTTTGAGCCAGTGTGAGGTGGGAGTTCACTGAACAGCCTTGGGGCCTGGATTCATGCAGGCTCTACTCCAGCTCTACAGAATGCACAGAGCCGCCAGGCCAGGATTGGACTGATGGAAACCTACATAATCAGTCACCTGCCCCCATCTGTCCTCTGGGTCTAACAGACACTGGCTAGCAACCTGAAGAGCTTCCACGAATTACTTCTGGATTGGGTGCCCTGAACACAGATGACACTTAGGTCTATAGGAAGTCCATCCAGGGCTGTCACACCCCTCCTCCACCCACCTTGTGAGTTCCTTGGTCGTCGGCAGAGGCCCCAGAGTTTTCTCCTTTCTAAGTTTAACAACTGCTCCGGTTTTTTGTTTGTTTTTCCTTTTGTTTTTCGTCTTCCTTTCTTTCCCTTCTCTTTGACTTTTATCCCTTCTAGCTCCAATTTTGGTTTTTTTTCTTTTGTTCTGTTTCTCATTGGTACCTCTTCTTTTTTTCCCCTCATGGTTTTTTCTTTACCATTCTCTAGTCTCTTTGTCTCTTTACCATCTCTGTTTTTCAGTATTTTTCTTTATCTTCCTTTTATTGTCGCTCTTAATTTTCTTATATTTCCTATCCCTCTTTTCTCTTTTTAGTTATATTTATTCTTTGTGTTACTGTCCATTTTTGTTTTTTCTCCTGTTACATCCTATTTCCCCCTTGCTTGCTTGTTCTGTCTTGTTTGCTTATGTGTGGTTTCTCCTCTTGCTACACCGACAAGAGATAACAACTCAGCCACAGCTGTACCATCTGTAGCTTCGCCCACTGAACTAGAGCCAAAACCAGCTCTGATACCATCTATTCAATGATAGGCATCAGCTGACATCAGCCAAATCCATCCAAACTGAGCTGCATGCATGGCCAATCACACCCACCAGGTTTCGGTTGGTGAGAAACTATGAACACATCAATGTACAATCATGAACTAAATACAAATATCACAACACCACAATGTCTCGGAGACAACAGACAAGTTTAGCTCAAACAAAGAAACAAGAGACTGACTTAAACAAATGACAAACATGCAGAGCTAGAAAACATGTCTAAGGAAGAAAAGGTAATAGAACAAACTGAGAAAGAATTCAAAAGAATGCTATTTAGGTACCTTCAACCATCTGTCAGAAAGATTGAGGAAATCAAGGAAAACACAGAAAAACTTTAGAAGAATTTAGGAAAACATTTCAAAAATAAACAGAGTGGAGGCGGGGCTTGATGGCAGCTAGGATGGCGGTGCAGTGAAGTTCACCATCACCAATACCACAGAATATCAGGCAAAGCAGATCTAGGGCAGAGCTCCAAAACTTGGAACCACATACATATGAGTATTTTAAAAGTTTGAAGACTTACAGCCAGTGGAATTTGAAGTGGAAGTAATTGCATACTTTTGAATCTGCCAGCCTCGGTGGCCCGGAGTCCACAACTTGGGCAAGACCAAACAGCAAGACCAAGTCAGGGAGCAGACACACCATGGAAAAACACTGCGGGACCCTCAGAGCAAAGGTGGACAATACATTTGTTGATTTTGCTTCGTTCTGATTTTCTTTCTTTCTTTTTTTCTTGGTATCTGTTCATTGTGCCTGCCCCCAATGTTTGCACACCTCCATTCTCATGACTAGAGGGGTTGCCTGAATGGGTGGACACCTCACCAATGGTGGGTTCTTCTGCCACACATGCACACATACTTTCAGCCCAAGAGCTGGCCCTGAACTGTTTTTTGTTTCTTTAAATACAGGAAAGGCCAGGAGAGGGGTGTGGAGAGAAAGAGACTTTAAAAATGAAACAGGCCGAAAATTAAATTAAATCCTGAGGTACAGCATAACAACCAACAGTGGCATCTTGATATCGCTCAGGCAGCTTTGAAGGCAAGAAGCTGAAGAGAAGACATTACAGTCATACTCATATTAGACTATAATATTTACTTATTTTTCTTCTCTCCCTACTCTCCCTTTTCTGCAATTATAGACTACAGTATACAGACTAGATACAGACTAGATTTGCTTTTTGTTGT